AAGGCTACCAGTAAAAATATATATATATATATAAGATGTATTAACCTTATTTAGTTTACAGTAGTGAAGGACTGGTAGTTGAAGTTCCCCAAAAACATTTGAGTGGGCCTTAAGTATCCATTCAATTTCCATTCCAGCTGGAGTGGACAGAAGTTTTAACCTAATCCCTAATGGCCTCATCAACACCACCAGCGGGACTCGAACCATGACAGTGCAGCGTATAATGTTGACACGTTAACCAATAAACGCAGTGCAGTGACTCGGCTAAAAATATTGACAATTACTTACTCAAAATGGGGTAACTGTTTAAGCCAATCCTACTCACCTCAAAAGCTTTATCGTGAATTTGACGGAAAGTTGAAAATGGCTTTGCCTTTTGTCAACCTTAAGTGGGACCTGAAGTCACACTCACGGACTGTCATTTGTGAAATGAAGCTGCAAAACAAGAGGTACAGAAACTAAACCGCTAAGGAATAGTCTCGAAAATGTTTTCTCGTTAATTGATTCACTTTTCAGATGCGTAGTTTTGCAGGAGAATTGGATTCCGTTGCCTTTCTCCTCAATATTGGTTTTGAAAATGAGTTGCTTGCATGAATGACAGATCCATTAGCAGACACGAACTCTCCTAATTGGCAGTACATGTTGACGGAGTTTAGATATGTCCTCTGAAAAGAGTTCAAAACTATTAGTAGCCTCATTGTTCGTTTCTAAGTAGGGTTTTGAGACTATCAGTTCATCTCATATGAGTAGTCTTGTTTTACTGTTCCTGATTTGCTGAGTTTCATAAAGAAAATCGGCTCATTCGATCCAGAGGCGTGGATTTGATCTGTTGTAGAAATGTTAAGGTCAAGATGCGTTTGAGAATTCAATGCTTCAGCATAGTAGTCTTGTTAATGTAAAGAGAGACTAAGATCAAAATTCCAACACTGGTAGGTCATAGTTGGTTGTTAAGTAGGGCTAGAAAATAGGATAAACAGAAAGACTAGATCGTTGAAGTAAGCAAGAGTTTACAAAAATAAATCCATTCAAACAATAACTTTCATTGATAGCTCTCCTTTCTTTTTAGAAGGCAGATGGAAAAGATTCGTAAATTGGTCTCATCGGAGGGTTGCCTTGGACTCGTGGCTGTTGAATGGTGCGAAGAGGACATCATTGAAAGAGCTGAAAAATGGAAGAAACTGGGAAGAGATGTTTATAAGAAATGCACAAATTAGCGTTTACTTAATTTCTTATTGAATCATACTTATGGTGTTAAAGAAGGGGTAGTAAAATCAAATATGATAATGAACATAAGTCTAGCGGACGCAAATCATCATGATCAGGAGATAGGAAAGTTAATGAATATCTTAGATGAGAATAATTGAGCCGTTAGGTAAATTGCTAACAATTGTGAAATACTATGAAAATGTGTGAGAGGAAAGCATGATTTAGGACAAAATGGGGAATTAGACAACTCTTCGTCCAGATTCCTAATACAACCATTCTGCCAGCTTTCAAGAAAGATAGGCGAATTACCATGTATAAAGAAATACCAACGCTTTCCTGGGTTATTCCTTCTTTTAGAGAATCTTCAGACAACCTCTGCAAATCAGGTTGTGCTCATTTGATACATAACTCATGCGGTAGTGTTTATGTGGGGGAGACTTATTGAAAAATGCACAAGGGGGTATCAGAATATAAAACAGTGTATGGATTCAAAAATCAGGGGCGGTTTAGCATATGATCACTTCAGGCCACCAGATATAAGGGTCTAAAACCCAACATTTGCCAGATATGGGGACTTTACAGCTAAACGTAAAAATCATGAGTAGATTGAAA